TGCATGTCTGTACTATGCACCTCTCGCCCTTCTGCTGGCCCCGGGGAGGTACACAGCCTCCACCTCCCCAGGATGTAGGAACACATGAGGTTCCCAAGAGATGGGAGTGCTGGCCCTAGAGAGCAAGAGGAAGGGGGTGTTACCACAGGAGGCAGTTAATAGGAGGCTCTGAACGGGAAGAGTTCATGATAACAGGGAGAAAGCAAAAGAGCAGGAAGGAGAGAGGGAGCCAGGACTCCGAGCGCACTGTCCAGGGAGGTCCAGGGAACCCCGATAGGTCTCAGGTCCCCACTTCTTTTCAATTACTTAGGGGGAAAAAAGCAGCCTTTAAAATGGAGCCATATAGGGACCAGATTATATTTAGATCAGACCCTACTCTCATTTTGAGAAATTCACAGATCAGAATCAAACAAAACAAATTCTAGTATCCGTCTCCCACACACTTCATCTTTTGCTCAATGAAAAGATGAGATGAACTGAATCGCTGAAACCTGCTTAGAACAGCACCTTGCACACGGCAGACACACTCTAGAAGCAGTGTGTAAGTGCCTACTTTAACTATGAACAAGCATTGTTGTTACCGTTATTGTATCTTGGCTGTCTTCAAGAGCTGATGTGAGCATAGGAAGTAGATAGGATGGTAAGTAAATCACAAGCCGCATTCTCTCTTTTCTCCGTTACCTCACCTAAGTAGGAAGAGCAATAAACTAACCCAGGCGGTATAGCTTAGAGTAGAGCCAAGCAGACACAGTTAGACCACCTCACAGGAAGAGATGAGCGAGCGCGTGATAGGCAGCTCACTCCTGCCTCTCACAGTGAATGCAGAAGTGCTTGGAACTGTGCTGGATAATAGAGGGGAACATTAGGAAGAAGAGCGAAATCCACACCAGGGAATACACACACACACACACACACACACACACACACACACACACACACACACACACACAATCAGTTAAAATTACTGTGTGGATCTAACTAGGGAGAAGATGACTGTGATGCTCTGTCCAATCCCTTAGCAGAGATTTACCCCGGTGGACCTAACCCTAAGAAGACACTCCGGTCCTTTGAGGACCTCTTCTTTGTCCCTTCATCACTGACTCCTATGGCTTCGGGTTCACGTGTGCCTGCCCCATCAGTAACCTGCCCGTGCCGACCTCGTAGAACCGTCCCTTCCGTCTGGACAGACGATGTGATCATGGCCAACTCTGGGTGCTTTGACTGACTCTTGAATTTCAGAAGCCTTTCAGGTCTATAACCATTGTAGGTCCCAAATCCATTTTCTTCCAGTAAAATCAAAATCTCATAAGAACATTAAAAAATAATGTTTCCCTGCGGCTAGCACAATCCTCGACCCTTGTATCGTGAGTAAAGAAATGTAATGTTAGCTGACAACATCACCAGCCCTGCTGTGCTGCTCTGTAAGGCTTGTTCCCAAAGATTCAAAATCACCTCCCATGGTTTCTCTTTGCATGTGTAGAAGGTGTTCTGATGAATCATCCTGACTGTGGCAAGAAGAAGAAGAAAACTCTAGGGGGAGGGTTTCCGATACAGACCAATTAATCCTCTGACAATGTGAGCTATTTATTTTATTCTTACTTCCTGGGTCCCACTGGAAGACAACCCAAGCGCAGTTTCTAATTGCTTAATGCCACTTAATTCTAGGGAGTTCATTTACCTCCCGTGGATCAGTTAGGCATCTTTATCCTAACTGTGTCATGGAACATCATCTCATTTTAAGGTATTCGCGTTCTTCTCCCCTTGGGGATACTTCGATGCTGAGTTACAGGTCAGATATGACCTGGATCCAGCTTGGTTTCTGGAATGGAGACCAATAGGCCAATAGGCCTTCTGTGGGTGGGGCTCAGAGCTGGTTTGTAAATAAGATGTTGCTAGAATCACAATGCTTGGGATTGTACCCCATGCCGGAGTGCAGCCGTGTAAAGAAAAGGGCAAGGGATGGCCAGATAGCTCAGCAGGTAAAGGAAGTTGCTACCAAGCCTAATGACTTAGATTACATCCTCAGAACCCACAGGGTGGAAAGAGAGAATTGACTCTTGAAAATTGTCCTCAGACCTCTACATGTGCACCAGGGTGTGCTCACGCATGCGCGCACGCGCACACACACACACACACACACACACACACACACGTTTTTAAAGCATGGAGGTGGGGGAGCAAGCTATTTGGTAGTTATGTACCTGCTGTGAGTTGATAACAAGATGTTGACAACAGAGGAAAAATGCCCTTTATATGGTGAGAGGCCTGTACTCAGCAGCCAAAAGCACACTGCCTACCAACAAGACATGCTTCAAACACAAGGATGGTTTCTCAGCTAATGCCTCCGTCTAGCCGACATCTCTCCCGAGATTTTGCAATTAGCTTTGTTTTGATTCCATGCTCTCAGATCAGCCTCCTGATTCTTATTTAGTCACTGCAGGCACCTCAATACCCCAAAGAGGTGCCCTGGATTACTGGAAATAAGTAGCTTAGTTACCAGAATGGCAGAGCCTAACCCAGTGGAGGAATGGCTCTGTTTTATAGTCAATAAATCAGTTCTCTGTAAGCTTAGCATAATCCAGTCCTTCACAGTATAGCAAGCTCCACAGGGACTGGGGAAATAGAGGTTCTTTATCGGAAAGCTGGGAGCCAGACTCTAAATCACCATTTCCTTAAACTCCACCGTTCCTCAGTTTCCTCCCTTTAAAAAGCTGTGGGGAATGAGTACCTGCTTTGTGGGGCTGTTGTGAAGACAAATGGTGTTTATGGACCTGCGTGTCTATTAAATGATTGGACCTGTGGAAAGTCCTTGGAAGAATGCCTGTGATTCAACGTGGCCTGCTAGGTAGTGGGTACTTAGAAAGATGGCTGCCCTGCTAGCAGCAGCCAGGTAGCGGCTCTCTCTCCTCGACTGTATCCCACAGCCTTCAGTGTGGTTGTTCTCTCTGGACACTCCGCTCTGAAAACGACTCTACATGGAGGCTGTAGTGGTCAGAGCAGCATCAGGAGCCAAGGACTTCTGTGGTTATGTAGGTCACGCACTTCTTTACTACCCAATTGCTGCCACCCATAAATGCTTAATTTTTCAACAAGTCCTTTTTTTTTTATTGGCTCTGAACCCTGCTATGATTTGGATAAGTGCCCACCTACTAAATGACCTTTGTGTTGTCCCCCACATGACCAAAGGCTTGTCCCAGACTGTAGCCCTGTTGTGGTATAGTGGAATCCTTAGGAAGAGGGGCTTAATGAGAAGTCTAAGGTGGCAGGGGGCATGCGCTCAAAGGGGCCTGTGGGAGGCTGCTCTTTTGTTTTCCCTTTGGCCTTGAAGCGAGCAGCTTACTCCATAATGAGCGGACTTGCCACCGACTTCCAACTGATTGTGAACTGAACACTTCCAAACCTGTGCGACCAAAGGAAACCTTTCTTCTCCGTAAGTTGATGATCTGGGGAGTTTGGTTATATGAAAGATGGCTAACGCACCCCTACAGTTCACGTAGCTACAAGTGACCTAGCTAACTGCTCTCCTCTCAGGTGGTTCTCTCTTCCATGCTATGGAAGTGACGTGGTGGATTGAAAGAAAATGGCCCCCAAAGGGAATGGCACTATTGAGAGGCTATGGCCTTGTTGGAATAGCTGTGGCCTTGTTGGAGTAGATGTGGCATTGTTGGAGTAGGTGTGGCCTTGTTGGAGGAAGTGTGTCACTGTGGAGGTGGGCTTTGAGGTCTCCTGTATGCTCAAGCCACGCCCAACAAGACAGTTCACTTCCTGTTGCCTGAGCAAGATGTAGAACTCTCAGCTACCTCTCCAGCACCATGTCCACCTGTATACTGCCTTGCTTCCGGCCATGATGATAATGTACTAGACATCTGGAATGTAAGTAAACCACCTAAATAAATGTTTTCTTTTATAAGAGTTGCCATGGTCATGGTGTCTCTTCACAGCAACAGAAACCCTAACTAAGACAAATGACAAGATGTGTAGACTTCTTGGACCCGGAGCAACATTTCCAAAATGACGTCCTCTCTCGACTTTCTCCACATAGCCCTGGCTGTCCTGAAACTCACTATGTAAACCAGGCTGGCCTCAAACTCAAAAAGACCCTCCTGCCTCTGTCTCCCTAATGTTAGTAGTAAATGACACTTCCCATCTTTATCTCCATTCCTGCCTCCTAAATAATGAAACCACTTGGCAATTTCTTGTGAGATGATTTCAGCCAGCCTGACCTTCAGAGCAGGAAGTTAGTCCACAACTGTAGCTACTGCTAGGGACCTGGGAGTAGAAGAACCTTCTGCTGACCCCTCATGGTGGACGTGATTGCAGGAGTTAGAGGGAGGAGGTGGGCAGCGTTCCTGGGTGACTTCTAGTGAGCAACAGCTGTGGTTCCCAGGAGTTCCCCCACCTGCTGCTGGACCAGGAAAGTCTCCATCCATCTTAGCCTCCCTGTGAGACATCCACAGGATGTTCTCCTCGGATGGGAGGAACTGTAGTTAGCTCACCACTAAATTCTGTCCTGGGAGTTCAAGGCAGAACGGATTGAGACAGATATCATAAATCATTCTTCCTTTGAATTTCCAAGATGGAATAGCCCAAGGAAACGTGGATTCTACAAGTATATGGCTACGTGCCACTCATACATATAAATGTACTTTGTCCATACATTGAGTCTGACTTGGTGCTGGGAACCTTGACATCACTTCTCCATTCCCAGGTTAGCCCCTGTCCTTCCTATGGTCTGATGGCCCTTTATCTATGGTCCTAGAACGGCCAGGCAATTTTTTTGTGGTTTCCCGTAGTATGGTTATGTGGGCTGGCCTTCTGAAATGCAGCCTTGGAAAAGAAGCCGCCTACAAACCCCAGCTCTCTACAACTTGGATCAGCTCATCTCACTTTGTTCTGATTTAGAATCTAGAACTACAGAGAGTCATTTCTAAGAAGGGACTTTGCCATCCTGTTGAAGGAGCCTGGGAAATAGTCTTCAAGGCTACAGAGAAAACAAGGACTAGAAAAATTTTGTTTGTTTATTACCGGTTCTCCCCACAGCCACTTACATAAGGGCTGGAGTTGAGACGGGCTGTCCCGCCTGGACTCAGGATAAGAGCTAACACTCCTGGGGACGATGACAGAAACAACGTGGGAACCACAGGGTTCTGGCCCATGACGTCCAGGAAGGAAAACCAAGTGGTGTGTGGCGATTAGTCTGTTCACAATGATGCGGTGGTTTCCTGGGGTGTTTAGAAGCATTTGGTGGGAGGCACAGTCTCCAAGAGGGGGAAAGGCTCTGAGAACAAGATATGAATAGTTCCTTGTTTTCCATTTTTAAGATAGAACAATGCACACTGGACTGTGTGAGCCTCAGAGTAGAGTCAAAAGTTCAGGTGTCTTCTGGCCTTTCAGATCCATCCTGACTCACAACGGCACAAATAAACACTGTATCCAAATCTGAGACCGGTTTAAAAGGTTGAGAGAAACCATGTACCATTTTGTTCAATTGAATTTTTCAGAAATAAAGACACACACTAAACCCTTTCTTCCTGAAACAAACGCACAAAAACTGAGTCTGCCAGGAAACAATGTAAACCCCACAGACAGATTATGTTCAGAGGTCCAAGGGGACAACTGCTTCCCCCACACGTTAGTGGAAAGCAGATGTGGCTACAGCGTGGTAGAGGCAAACAAACAGGGTTGGCAGCCCAACCATAAGGCAGGCCGAGCTTTTCTTCACAGCCTCCCTCCGAGGGAGACACTGTGGCCTCTTCTGCGCGCTGTTCCCAGCTTTACAGGGAATCTGAAAAACATTTTCCATGTGTTTTCATTTAACTTCTGGTTAAAATGTGGGCCCGGCCCTCCTTGTTCCTCCCTCAAGAGCCCATGTGAGTAATTGCCTGTTGAGTTTTCCGCTTGCCTGTCTACCTAGATGTGCGTTTTTCCTACAGCCGGACACACCTAACTCTTAGCATCTGTCGTCACGGTAAGGTTTCTTCTTGTTGCTTCCGGATGACAAGTTGAAACTAGTACAGTCTTACATATAAGCCATATCTAAGCAGCATTTGACTGGTGGAGTTGGGTCTGTCCTGCTCATTCCTTTCCTTCTTACCTTTCTTGCCTCTCTATCCCTTTCTAGTCCTTTCCTTCTTCCTTCTCCTCTGTTGGCAAAAACACTAAGCTCCGGTCAGGCTGATGGCTCGATGGGCAAAGGTACTTGTGGCCATGCCTAGAGATCTTAATTTGTTCCCCGGAATCCACATTGTGGAAGGAAAGTGGTAATCGACTCCAGCAAATGGTCCCCTGACTCCACACAATGCCATCAGGTGCATGTCTCACCTCCCCACACACAAATGAGTAAATAAATGTAAAATTACTTAAAGGAAAACATCAAGTTTTTCTATTAAAGACTCTCTAAATTTCTGATTTACACTTGGTATATATGCAATATATACCACAGAATATAAGCACCCTCCCTGGGGTTCCCAAGGTTAGCATCAGTCTATGTGGGCTATGATTCATTTTAACTAAGATGGAATCCAGAAAGAAATAAAGGAAGAAGACAGAACTACAAGATGCTCCATGAAGACACCTCTGAAATGTCTCCCCTGGGCTATGTCTCACCCTCTTTCCACTGATTGCCCGGACACGGTAGACTCGGATGCTCATCGTTCACCATCTTTCAGTTTGCCTTTCAGAGTCTTGAGCAAACAGGAAAGCTGAGAACAGAAGTCATCCCGGACTCAGGAGTTGCAAATGGAAAAGGCACATCTTGAATCAATGAAAACCTAAAATGGAAATCCATTTGTTCGTGTGACAAAACCACGAGAAAGGGTGGCAGACAGGGAGATGGGAAAACACTCCTAGGATGTGCCCACACTCCCCTTTTCCCTCCCGCCCCGGCCATTTTCCCAGACCGTGTCCCTCCACGAGGTGAGGTCACTGAAAGGAAAAGTTGGACTCAGGACCCCCAAGGCTGAGTTCTTGCACGAAGGAGATTCATTTTCTCCAGAGGGACAGCGGGCAGGGAATACGAGACAAAGACAGGAGACGGGACAGCGAGAAGGGGAAGGGAACAAGGGACAGGGGGAAGGGGTATTTGTCCTGGAGGGACAGAGGACTGCCCCAGATAGAGAGGAGGCAGACTGGCCCATAGGAAAATGACCATTTATAAAGGTAAAGGGGAAACCCTGTGTTAGGATGAGGGGTTTAATTTTAATTGGGCGTGTTAATTAGGTGAGCCAAGGGGGCTTCTGATTGCTGGACTTCAGGACTTTGATAGCTGGACCTTGGTAGTCAGCCTCAGGAGGAAGAAGTGGCCGAATAAGGGAACAGACCTTGGTGGCTCGCTTTAGGAATGTAATCTACCGGTTTTTAGCAAGGCAGGGGGAATGGGGGAGAAGGGCAAGGCCTGCCAGAGCCATGTTTGCCAGGCCTGGGCTGGCTAGAGTCCCTTCAATCACCAAATCAACTTATCTCCCCATAACCTGTGACTTAAGCAGAAATATGCTTCGTCCTGCCCCCTGCTTCCCTACCCCCACCATGTCCGTCCCATGGATTAAAAGAGTACCTAAGGAAGGATGCTGATTGGGCCACGGTGATGAGTGTGTGAACTATGAGGTTTACTCTCCTGCGTCATGCCCCCCATGACAAGGTCTATTTAAATTAAATTAAACAACAGCCATTACAACATCTAAGAGAAGGGGAGCTGCAGAGGCCACTGAGCCCCAACAGACAGACGACTCCTGCCTCAGATCTTCTTCCCCTTCCTCTTGGTCCCCTAAGTGGGGGCCACAAGACACATGTGATCTAGATCTCACATCCCCCCACCCACCAAGGTACAGTGATAGTTACTGTCTCACTATCCTGGAAAAGATCACAAGAGTTTGCCTGGTTTTCTTACTAATGCCAAATATCACTAATAACTCCAGATAAAATCTGGATTTTTGCAGAAGAAAAAAAAAAAAACGTAGACTTGGAGAGTTAGAAACATAGAGGAATCTAAATAATTTCCTACCTTTAACCAGAGCTGAACAAAAAATAAAGCAGGGGATGGCGGGTGTTCAAAGGTCTTCAAGGTCATTCACTGTGTGAGAAAGAAGAAGAGACCTCCTAAGATCCTCTTAGAGCAGTGGGTCTCAACCTTCCCAATGCTGTGACCCTCTCATACAGTTCCTCATGTTGTGGTGACCCCCAACCATAAAATTATTTCATTGCTACTTCATAACTATAATTTTGCTACTGTTATGAACCATAACATAAATATGTGTGGTTTCTGGTGTTCTTAGGCGACGCCTGTGAAAGGGTCATTTGATCCCTAAAGAGCCTGTGTCCCACAGGTTAACCCACTGCTCCAGGTTCTGTGAGGTCATGAGTCTGCCATTACCCTAGCCTGAGGTCACTGGCTCCTTTTTTCAATCCTGTAGAGCACTGGCCCTCCCTTCTCTCTTGGGAACTGGCCTAATGCCAGCAGGGCTTCGAGTTCAGGGTCCCATGGAGGTGTTTCGAGTCAGTTACCCTGTGCAAACTGAGCAGGTACCTGTAAGGGCTAGGAATTCTCAGTCCTTAAAAACAGGGAGTCTCCCCTTGGTCCCCATCTCACTGTGTCAACACGGTCTCTTCTCTGTGTGTGTGACATTATCATTCCTTTCCTCTGCATCTTCATCCGATTCACTAACTCAGATGATAGGAGAAGCGTGGGGCTAAATACAACCATCTAGAACACCTTTAGACCAAAGTTTTTAGATCACAAGAAACGAGAGAGAGAAAGACAGACAGAAATACAGAGAGAAAGAGAGAGAGAGAGAGAGAGAGAGAGAGAGAGAGAGAGAGAGAGAGAGAGAGAGAGAGAGAGAGTGAGAGAGAGAAATTTACTTTCTATCCCAGTGGTAGAAAAACAATGCCCTCCACCACCCCAAAAAGTTCTCGGCTCCCAATCCCTGGAACGTGTGAACATAGTGTTGCATACCAGAGACATTAAAACCACTCTTAAAATGATTTAGAGTGGCAGAGTACCCTGCATCACTTTGGGGAGGGCAATGTAATCACACAGATCCTTAGAAGGGAGAAGGAGCTAGGTCAGAGTACCACACCTCACAAGAAGGACTTACTCTAACATTGGAAGCTTTGAAGATGGAAAGAAGAGGCCATGAGCCAAGAAACACAGGCAGTCTCTAAAAGATAGAAAAGACAAGGAAATAGTTTCTCTGCTATAATTCCCAGAAAGGAGTCCAGCTTTGACTTTAGCTCAGTGAAACCCATGCTGGACTTCTAATCTACAGACTATAAGATAAATTTGTGTGTTGGTAGGAAGGAAGGCTTGCTGCAGCCACAATAGGAAACAAATACACTTTCTGTTTCATCCACATGTGTCTTGGAATCTCTTGATGATTCCAATGACTGGGCTACAGAGAAACAGCAGTGTGGACAAGGAGAACAGATCTGAATCCTACGTCACTTCACTCTGTGGCTTTGCATGCATCAGTTTCCATACCTGCGAAACAAGACCCCCTTAAAAAGCGATCCCCAAGCCTCTCTCCCTTGAGCTCTGAACTGTAATGGCCACTCCCTTTTCTTACTGGTACCGACTGATGTGGCAGATCTGGCTGGCCCTGAGCTGTTGGCTCACTGCTCAGAACAGAGCCCTTGCTAGGGAGGGAGGCCCACTGGACAGCAGGTGCCTCAGGGCCTGTCCACAATGAGTGTGGGAATCGGAGCTGGGGGCAGACTCGAGAAACTCCCTGGGTGCGCTCGCTCTCTCTCTCTCTCTCTCTCTCTCTCTCTCTCTCTCTCTCTCTCTCTCTCTCCTCAGAAACCTTCCAACGCCACACAAGGAACACTGGGAGAGCCCAGCTGCTAGAGAATTATAAACCCCAAGTGGCCACCAGAATTATCCTAAAGGAAGGGGACTTGTGTTGACCATGGAGGAGAAATGGGCTCTGCGTGGACTCTTGAGGAATTTGTGAGGAGCCGAAAAGCTGGAGTGCAAGAGGCTGATATGTGTCCTGATATCTTGGGGGCTTAAAGAAACCATGTGAAGCCGGGCGGTGGTGGCGCACGCCTTTAATCCCAGCACTCGGGAGGCAGAGCCAGGCGGATCTCTGTGAGTTCAAGGCCAGCCTGGGCTACCAAGTGAGTTCCAGGACAGGCGCAAAGCTACACAGAGAAACCCTGCTCGAAAAACCAAAAAAAAAAAAAAAAAAAAAAAAAAAGAAAACCATGGGATGGGGTCCTTAAAAGATTCCAATACAGAGACAAAGACCGAATGAGCTCCTGGAGGCCCCGCTGTATTCTTTGCCATACTATCTTCCCAAAGCTCAGTGGCACAGCAGGGTTGTCACAGGCACTCCGTGCACTGGTGCTTGGAACTTGTGGGCAAAGGAATGAATAGGCAATGCTGTAGTTTGGCTCTTGTGTGTCCCCTAAAGGCCTATTATTGAAGACTTGGTGCCCAGGGTGCATCAGGAGAAGAGGGACATTTAAGAGGGAGGGGGCGTGGAGGGAGGATCTTAGATCGTATGTCCCTATAAATTAATAATTATCTCTGGTGTTTATTATAGCACATGAAAACTAACACACATTTCACTGTTTTCTGAGTCATAATACAGTCATAACTCAACATGATTTTAAAGGAGATAAGCGGGACTTCCATACACAGAGTGGATCCAAAGAGGCAGAGAGGAATTCCAAATAGAAGCTTCAGACACAAAGATTAAGCTGGGGGGTGGGGGGGGGGCAGTGTAAACTGAGTCCCATGTACCACTCCAGCTGGGAGGGTGACATTTTCCTTCACACAAATCTCCAGGAAATAAACCTACCAGTCGTGAATAAAAACAGCACGATAACTCAGCCCACACAGAGCCAAACCCCTCCGGCACCTCCGGAGCTTCTCTAACCCACATTGTGCTGTCAGTGGGAATGACCAGTAATGGATGGCTGCAGACTGTTCTCCCCGTCAGCAGAGCTGATTCTTAGTTTACCCCTTGCCTTCCTTAGACTCAACATCCCTGATTCGCCTCACTGCTTTCAGAGGCTCGTCCTCCAAGTTCAACCATTTCAATGCTTTTTCTCCAGATTCCTTTCCAACTTCCCCCTTCCCTCAAGTCACCTGAATGGTAAGATCAGATTTACTCCAGTCACGCACATCTGAAAGTGCTTTCCTCTAAAGCAGCACTTCTCAACCTGTGAGTCACGACCCCTTAGGAGGTCGCACAGCAGCGATTTACATGATGATTTGTAACACGAGCAAAGTTACAGTTATGAAGTAGCAACGAAAATAATTTTATGGTTGGGGGCGTCACTACAACATGGGGAAACTGCAGTAAAGGGTTGCAGCCTTAGGAAGGTTGAGACCACTGCTCTAAAGGATTCACAAGGAACACGGGACCTCCTCTCCCAGAACAGGTCCAGGATGCAGACAGCATCTGCCCGAAAGAATCTCACAGAAATCAATGGGAAAGTCACCTCCCAACAGAGTCCAGCCTTAGATCCCAAGGGAATGCTCCATCTTCTTCTTCTTCACCCTCCTCTCCCAGTGTCCCTTGATTTACCTCAGCCAAAGTCCTTGCCAGTGGAGACAGAAAGGTAATTGATGGCCTTAAGGGATATCAAAGTGCTATTGAGCAAAACCACAGCTCAACAGCTGCGCAGGTGCTTCCTGCGGCGGGGAGGGAGAGGAGCATCTTTGGAAAGCCCTAAATAACCCTGGGCAGGGATGTCAACTTGACAAATGACTCCAGAGAAATAGCCCCGTTGTTCTACTGTGTGTGATTCATCCAGAGCCACCCTGGAGTGGGGGACCAGGGCCTTCCCTGCGCCTTGCCAATGGTCACCAGGAGGGATTCCATGGCACTGGTATTGCTTCTCTCGGCCTCAGTCCTTTTGGCTTGTTTTCTTGTGGCTTTATTTAGTGAATCCCAGATTTGTATCCTTTTAGTTTAAGCTGCATTCACTGGGAAATGGGAACTGTGGGGGAGAGCCCTTTCAATGAGCCCAAAGGTCTCCCACCCTACAACCCCTGCTTTGAGGGCAGTTCCCCCGGGCTTCTGAGCCTTAGGGCAACAAAGACTACCTACTCCCGAGTCAGAGAATCCCTTTGTCTTCTTCATCTCAACACTTCTCAAATAGCATGCCTACTTTAATACTTTAAAGTGACTGAAAGGTCAGGGTAGCTGGTTTCTAATATAGGTCCCTGAGACCTCAGCCAGGTGCACGCTCATGGCTTCCAGGACTCTGAAACAAAAACATCAGCTCTCAGTTCCCCTCAGCACAGACTGTGAGGTTGGGGGTGGGGCGGTCTGCTGGGACTGACTGAGACTCAAGCCATAGCAATGGAGGGACAGTATGGAGAACGGAGGCGTGGGGGGGGGGGGAGCTCTCTGAAGTTGTTTAGTGTAAACAGCAACAGAAGCAGACAGCACCCAGACACCCAGGAAAAGGTATGTGATCTTTTCAGTTAGGAAGGAGGTCTGCAGTAATCCTGTTCTGAAGGCAATCAATGTGGCCAGCAAGTGTGACCGGGGCCTGCCTAGAGCATACACACACACACACACACACACACACACACACACACACGCACGCACGCACGCACGCACGCACGCACACGCACACGCACACGCACACGCACGCGCACGCACACGCACACACAGCACTGCTCCAGGTTTGTTAGCTCTTTTGTAACCAAGTATTCCAGCCACCAGACTGCGGCATGCACATGAATGCATGGGTGCTCGCTGTGAAAGGACTCGGTAGACCAGAAGGCTGTCTACCAGCTGAGGGGATATCTGCACGTGAGTTATTAGCACAGTCCCTGCACAGGACAGTGCTGCTGGTCTGGAATGAAGTCCTGGGAGCACACAGAGAGCTCGGCCGATGTGTCCCCAAAGCCATCATCTTCCGATTCACTTTCTCATCCTGGCTTATGTGCTCTGGGTTTTTATGCCCTCAGTGTCCATCAATGGCAGCTTTGTTAATGTGAACAGAAAGCAAGGCGAATTCATTTGAAATCAACATCTCCTGGGTCTCACTGTGTGCTCCTCCTCACCAGAGCTGAAAATCGTTGCAACCTTGAGATTGAAAAACTGAGTG